AGTTTGGCATTAGTTAATAAGAAAATAACATATCTTGGGAAAAATAGTAAATCTTGGGAAAATCTGAAAAATGTAAATTAGTGACATATTTTATTAATGATTCTGTACTTTTAATAATTATATAACTGAAGGTCATATCCTGGAAAAGTGTAAATTAATGTACCCTTAATCATGGTTAAGGAAATGTCATGTCTTGGCAAAGTTTTAAATTATATAATTAATGACGTATTGTGAATCTATAATGATGAGAAAAATTGTAATAAAAGGGGGACCCAGAGAAAGCAGCTTTAGCTCTCTCTCTGGAGATTGCTCGAACGGAACGACTCCTGTCTCATCTTTTCGCTGACGCCACTCATCCTTCAGGACTCCCTGGACCCCGCTAGGGCAGGACCCCGGCACTTCGGGGTGTTTCTTCCTCCAACATGGATTACTTTTCCCTGTTTTAAAATCTCATTTCTACTCTCTATTTAATCTTACGTGTTAAGCCACTTTCACTAAGTTTAGATATTTTGAGATTCACTAATGATGATGATGTATCAGCAGCGTGTTCCTTTTCATTGCTGAGTAATGTTTCACTGTAGGACTAGACCACCTGTTTCTTTATCCATTATAGTGATAGGCACTTGGGTTTTTTTCCAATTGTTAGCTATTCTAAATGCTTTGGTTATTGTAAGTATATTTTATTCATTTTCTTTTTAGCTTCTCTGCCAAAATATATCATTATCTCATTGGGAGAAAAAACTTTTGACCAGAATGATTCATTAACCTTTTCAATTTCAAAAGATCTATAAACCATCTGGGCATGGTGGTGCACACCTGTAATCCCAGCAGCTCTGGGAGCCTGAGGCAGGATCTAAAGTCCAAAGCCAGCCTCAGCAACAACAAGGTTCAAAGCAACTCAGCGAGACCATGTCTCTAAATAAAATATAAAATAGGGCTGGGGATATAGCTCAGTGGTCAAGTGCCTGATTCAATCCCGGATACCCATTTCCAAAAAAGAGATCTAAAATCCTTGTTTAATTCACACATTCTCTTATAAATTATAAATATTATGTAGGGTTGGTAGTATTCAAGTATCTTCATTGACACACACATGCGTTATCTTAAAAAACTCATCCAAGTTGGATACTACTAGTTTGTACACTTCAGTAGTTTATTATACTTAAATGTTAAATCTCTTGAAAAAGCATTTTCCTAATAGTGTATAAGAGATATAAGAGACATTTAACACTTTAGTTTCTGTTTAAATCCTCAGCACTTAATCTACTCTATCAAGTGCTCAGCAATATAATAATTCTAGGCAGTTCTTTCTCAAAGAAGCTGCCAAATCCAAATAATTTACCCTTAATTTATTTTCTGGGTAAATTTTGGTTCATATACATCATTCTTTACCCCCAGAAAATCAGACAGACAGCCTGGCACAGTGGCACATGTCTAGAATTCCAGTTACTCAGGTCAACAGAGGATAACCTCAAATTTAAGGCCAGCCTGGGCAACTTAACAAGATCCTGTCTCAAAAGAAAAAAAAAAAAGGGCTGAACATTTAAGTTAGTGGTAGAGCACCCTGGCTTCAATTCTTAGTACCAGGGGTGGGGGAGGGCAGGAAGAAGGAGGAGGAAGATGAAAATAGGAGAAGTGGAGGGGAGGAAAGAAAGAAGAGGAGAACTGAAAAGAAGAAAGAACCATTCTCTTGCTACCTTCATTCATCATCCTATCAAAATATTTCATAAGCTAATCTTTAGATTTGTGACTTCAAGAAATATTTTATTGTATGGACAAAAAAGATCAATCATGATATTTTTCAATTCTATTTATACTAGAGCACACAGCAATTTGTTTCTAATTCTTTAAATCTTGCCCTGTTTGTGTATTAGCATAAAACAAAAGTAAATTATGTGACTTTCACCTATTACTGAAAAGCATCCATCCACCCCAACGCATGAAACAGAACTGTCAGGGCTATCTTTCACAGTCAAAACTATCATTATATGTGTACATGTGTCAGTTATTAGGGGCTGAACGGAGATGTGCTCTACCACTAAGCTATACCCTCACCCTTTTTTATTTTGAGACAAGGTCTCACTAAGTTGCCCAGACTAGCCTCTAACTTATGATTCTCCATCCTCAGACTTCTAATTCATGGGATTAAAGGCGTATACCACTGCACTCAGCCAAAACTATGTAATATTTTCTATTATTCGGCATTCATTTACAATTAGAAACCACTTTTATATCATAGGTCACAAAAAGAAAGAATCAGCAGGCACTTATTATTTTGTTTGCCTAGAACATCTAGCTATTTCCAAACACATGTTCTTGGGGATGCTACTCACAATAGGGTGAGCTTGATAAAGAGACCAAGGCTTACTCTCCTTAAAAATTTCTAATAAAACTGGGGATAAGAAGGGTAGTCACTATAACTGTGCTTAGTTACAGAAAGATGCTAGTCTGGCGAACTCTTTACCATGCACAGGAAGCTAGTTTGTGGAATAATAAAGTAGACATACCAAGAAACGCAGAGAACAATGGAAAAAAGCTCTGCAGTGTTCCCGTCTTTTGTTCCAGCAATTACTAAGTCTCAAACATTACTGATCTCATTGCTGCTTTATTATGGGAGAGAATAAATTTCCCTTTATGCTTTACCTTGTTTAAATAAAATATCTATAACTTTTACCACGAGAAGACTATAATGCAAAGATATAGCTAAAGCAAAAAGACCAATAGATGTTAGAAGGGAATGGATGATCACCATAGAGTTAGAATGCCAAGGGTAAAATAAGCATAATCAAATCACGCATTTGACACCAAAGATACAGTATTTTGTGAGAAAAACACCAAGATCAAAAGTATTCTTAGATATTGAAAACAATACCCTAATATGCATTAACATAAACAAAGGCAAACATTATGATATTTTCACACTTATTTATCATAAGTTAACCTAGTTTAAACACATAATCATCAAATTAAATGACCTATAAAGGTCATCTAAATCCATGATACCAGCAATTCTTTTATAACAAATAGATAACATTTAAGAATTGAATTAATTTCCTTATGTACAAGGATTGTTCAAAGAATGAGGGGCATTTTTCACTTTAAATTACTAATCTGTATGCAGACACAGACCAACAATAATTGAAAATAATGTGAGAAGAATTTAAACACTATAATAAGAGATAATGTTTAAAATACAAAAGAACAATTAAATTAGGGAATTATGCTTGGTTCATAAACCAACATTTCAGGAAAAGACCATAATCATGAGACCACAACAATGAAGTATTTTGCAATAAATTATATCATCATTTAAAATATACCTATACCTTTCTTGACTGGGCATGAAGTCCAGAACATCCTTTTATAAACTCAAGTCTACAAACATGTAAAGCAAAGAAGGTTAAAGCCTTCATGAATGATTAACCTTGAAATCACACGCGTAAAAATGACATTACTACCTTACTAACATCTACAGTTAATAGGATTTGACTGGATCTTTATTTAAAACACAAAGTATCTTCTTCAGCTGGATTCTGATGTTTCTATTTTTTTATCTGGAATGATTAGGCAAAATAAGTTTTGTTTTGCACATGTGGTGTTTACTGCAAGATGATTTAATACATGGTAGAGTCAATAATAATATTCATCAGCTAAAGACGTACTCAAGCCTAACTCACTACGGGAACAGTGCCTTCTTTCTCAATAATACTGTAATCAAAGGAACAGCAATTTTAAAATAAGAAAATGACAACTGAGAACAAGTAAGAAATGAAGTTCTATTGGGAACTGAGCTTAAGAGTATAGTAAAAATGATTCTTTAATTCAAATCAATAGGAGAACTGATGAAAACATAATAGAGGCTTTAACTAGAGATAATGGTCTACAAAAAAAGAACTTTGAGAGAAGTAGGATTATATTCCAATGTGTTAAGCATTCTTTGATGGTTTAAATTATCACTGAGTTTTTTTTTAATTGTAGCTATCTTAATGCACATCTGGTGAAAAAAATCTGTTATGTGGTCTTGAAATGATTCCTGAGACACAGTTCGCTACCTGAATGATACACGCTATTTTTCTATAAGAACTGGGAACATATTCCCTCTGTGTTCCAGAGTTTAACAGCCTATTAGATTCTACACATGAGAATTTGGAGATACTCTTCTTCCCACCTTGAGAATATTAAATCTTATCAGACCTTTATGAGAACTTGCAGTCAATACCTCTGCCCTTGGGAACCTCCCTTTCTTTCTCAGGAATATTACAACACACCTCATCAGACCCCTTATGTGAGTTACTGACCTCAACTTCTAGAATTTAAAACACATATGACCTTAGGAGTCTGACCAATACTTCAAGAGCTCAGGCATGAGAAGTCTTGGGCTTTGAAGTTTTACCTGCCAATACTGTCCTCTAGAATCAAGTGACTTTATTTATGTGTCTACGTGTCTTATAAGGCATCCAATGTGGTGGTCTAGCCAAGAACCATTTCTCCGTCTTAGACTTCACACAAAAGCCAACTTCTAGCCTAACTGAGCAACCATATTTGAATAATTTTGGAACTATGAAATTAAATGTACCTCATCTACCAATTGCTTGTATTATTCTCCCCCTACTTAAGAATTGTGAACCTGAAAAAAAAAATCTTTATATGTTAATAATTGTGTGACTTTTTATCACCATCTATCACATCCAACAAAATTCAAGTAGAAACAAGAAAGTTTAGAGGAAGACATATATTGGGTTTACAATCAGAGAACTGGAGATCATTTAGAAAAAAATCATTCATTCAATTAATATTTATTGAGTGTCTACTATGTGTTAAGACCCTATACGAATCACAAAGGATGCTACAATGAACAAATCAGGCAAAAATTTTTGCCCTCAGGATGTCATTGATAATGGCTATTGAGAAGAGCTATAAGTAAATAAATGATCAAAAAGGGGAAACCAAGGCCCCGAAAGATGAAGTGTCTTCCCAAGGCTATAGCTATTTAACAGAAACTTAGGCTACAGTTCACATCCTCTAAATGTATTTCAGAGACTTTTCACTAAATCATACAATCAATGAGATGAGAAAAACTTTAATGAAAAACCTTAATAACAAGGAAAACCTATCTTAATGTCTATTTATTGGATTATAGAACTTTCAACCAAAACAGAAGAAATTTAAGTGAAAGACAGACTCCACCAAATTTTAGAAAATACTTATGCTAAAGGCACTCTGCATTAGACTCTAAACATGATCTTAATGAGCTAATAGATACTTTATCTTCTCCTAATATCTGAAATTCCCGGAATACTTTTATTTAGAGGGCTATTTAATATGAACTGGTGGTTACAGTTCATATTCTAGCATAAAAACACTCTCAACACAATACCATCATCTCAATTTGTATTTTTTGCCCGATTCCAAAGAAAGGCCACAACTACATCAGCTAACAGATTACCTGCTGGGGATGGTAATGTAGTTAAAGAGAAATGGCTAAGGCAAAGAAATTTTGCACACAAAAAGCAGTATTATGGTAACATGCTCCCCCATTCTGCTTGTCACAAAGAACTTGACACTACCTCTCTTCAATAGTTTGTTATCCATCTCACAATCTCTATTAAGCAGTGAAAAATGATTAAGTAATTTCAGGCTCAACTTAAACAATGTCAAAATCTAGAGTTGAACAAATGATAAAACATTGACAGATTTGAAAATTCATTCTTTACTAAATAATTATGACACTTGCTCATCTTAATATCAAGTAGACAGACCATTTGATTCTTCTTCTAAAATATTCTACAAATGTCTGAAGTCAAATATGAATCATAAACATAATAATTTATTAAAGCAACTCAGAGAATACAAATTGAGAAAGATTACATACTTACACCACTGGAAAGGAACTGAGCATACTTTACATGAGGTGGATCAATAAGTTTTCCAGAGATGATCAGTGTTCTTTACCATTCTGTAGAATAAAGATAGAAAATTGAGAAATATTTATGTTACTCAAGTGTTGAATTAAAAAGTCTTACTTATATAACTTAAGGGTACTGAGCTACCATTAACTAATGTTTTTTAAGATTATTTTGAAATGAAACATTGGTTTAAAGCAAAATTTTAAGAAATCAGAAAAGTATCAACGATGTCCAAACAACTCACTTGAAATAAGTACTGAAAATATCTAAGTTCAATCTATTACCAGGAACAACCCAAATAAGCAACAGAATATATGTATTATAAGGACATTCAAGATACCTTTTGATATTAACATCAGTCATTTATAAAAAATTCTTTTTTGGGAAGTACTAAGGATTGAACCCAGGGGTACCACTGACCTATATCTCCAGTCTATTCATTCATTCATTCATTCACTTATTTATTTGGCACTGGGGATTTAACCCAGGGGCACTTTATCACTGAGCTACATCCCTATACCTTTTTTATTTTTTATTTGAGAGAGAGTTTCACCAAGTTGCTTAGGGCAACTTGGTTAAATTGCTGAAGCTGGCTTGAACTTTCAGGCCTCTTGCCTCAGCCTCCCCAGCATCATGGATCACAGGCATGCACTACAGTGCCCTGCCTTATTTTTTAATTTGAAGCAGGGTCTTGGCTAAGTTGCTTAGGGCCTTGCTAAATTGCCAAGGCTGGCCTCAGTCTTGTAATCCTCCTACCTCAACCCCCCAAGTTGCTTTGCTTGGATTATAGACATGTGTCATTGCATCCAGCTATAAAGAAGTCCTTTATGAAGAAAAAACAAATCCTGGCATGAACATAACCAAATGTCATAACTATAGGGTAATTCCTGGTTCTAAGTATATATTACTTATTTTATTGCTAGAATACGCTTAAGTGGCTTAATTCCTCTAAGTCTCAATTTCAGCATCTATTAAAACTGGATACAGATTACTTCAAAGAGTTACTAAAGACTTCTAAATTTTTTCTTTTTAATAGGGCACAGTAGTGCATGTCTATAATTTCAGTCACAAGGGAGGCTGAGGGAAGAGGATCTTAAGTTTGAGGATGTGTGGGCAACTTGGCATGACTCTGTCTCAAAATAAAAACTAAAAATGGATAGGGCTGCAGCTCAGTGGTAGCGTGCCCCTGGGTTCAATCCCCAGTACTGAAACAAACAAAAAGAATGAATAAATAGAGGCTGGGGCTGTAGTTCAGTGGCAGAGCGCTTGCTAAGTATGCGTGAGGCATTGGATTTGATCCTCAGCACCACGTAAAATAAAGGCATGCTGTCCATATGCAGCTAAAATAATAATAATTAAATAAAAGAATAAATAAATAAACAAACTTACATGGAGATGATGAAACATGTCTCAAACTAACTATTGGTAGAGGCTACTACTTATTACTATCAATTTTATAAAGGGTTAGATACCCATGTTGCATGATGACTGTACATAGTATACATTAATAATAGAGTGAGTCTAGTAATGGTATCTGCTGACTTGTATTCTACCACTTTATTCACAATCGAGACATTTTGGCCTCTCTCAATTCAGGCATATCTTCACAAAACAATGGAAGCTACTATTCATGATACAGGAACCAAAGATCACAAAAACTAAACTTATTAGCAGTTTCACATCATAATGAATAGACAACTATTTTCATTAACTCAAAGTTAAGATTGTAAATTAGAAAAAAGTTACAAAAACATTCATTAGAAACTCTGGTTAAAAAACAAATTCAGCACTGAATTATATTAAGAAAGACCAAAGTGTCTAACAGTGAATGATATATGTGAAATGTACAGGGTAAAGTTAGAAACCATTCACATTTGCATATCTTAAATTGTGGCCTTAATGAAGTTCCTGTTGTAGTGAATTTTCTTGCTGACTTTTAAAAAAATACCTGTCCTAAAAATGTAGGTGTAAAGTACAAAGAAAATCTACTGAAAATTTTGCTGACTGCATTTCTTAGGCAAAATAGCAAAATCTTTTCTTGTGGATAAGAAAGTAAACCCCAGAAAAAAACAAAGGTAAAAAAATTAATCACAGTAACATATTCTACAACAAAAATGGCCATGAAATTTAATTTTACTTTGATTTCTAGGCTAGTCTGTTGGAGCCTACAGCGGGAGCTCATTCCAAAATAACAGCTTCCTATAATTATTAATAATACCCTTCATACAGTATCCACTTCTATCCATCTAAAATATCTGTTAAAAATAAAACAACTCAGGAAACTGAGGTACGAGGATCACAAGTTCAAGACCAGCCTTAGCAAGACTCTGCTTCAAATTAGATAAATAAATAAATAAATAAATAAATAAATAAATAAATAAATAAATAAATAAATAAATAAATTAAAAGGATTGGGGATGTAGCTCAGTGGTAAAAGAACAGCTGGGTTCAATCCCAAATACCTAATAAACAAAAATGTTAAATACACAACTACATAATCCTTACAACCCACAAATTTGATATTATTGGTTCCTTCAATTGACACATTAGGAAGTGAACCTATTTCCAGACTAGACACATTTTTAAAAAACATAATGCATACATATGGAAATAAACATAATAGATGCAGGTTTCAAAAATTATAAAATGTCAAAAGGAAAGAGATATAGATATCCCCCCTTAGTTCTCAGTCTAAATTTCCTATGAATCTTTACAAAAAAAGGAAGAAATATGCACAGATCTGCAAATATCTGACATACAGTTCTTTTTTAAATAGTGGTTTTAAAAAAACCTTTTATTGGGGCTGGGATTGTGGCTCAGTGGTAGAGTGTTGGCTTAGCAAAGGCGGGGCCTGGGTTCGATCCTCAGCACCACATTAAAAAAAGAAATATATTGTGCTGTGTCCATCTACATCTAAAAAATAAATATTAAAAAACCCTTTTATTGCGAAAAATTCCAAACATATATATATAAAAGTATAACAAATGCTATATATCCACAACCCAGCTTGAATAAGGCCAACCTCTATCTTTCCCCTTCCTGCTACACTGTGCCAATGGATATTTTCAAGCAAATTGCAGACATCTCACCATTTTAACATAATCTTAGCAAGCTTCAATAGCTGGTTTCCAAAAAAGTAGATTGAACAGAAAAACTTAAATACTGACTAGAAGAGTATATAAAAAAGGGTTAAATACAAGAGAAAACTAATGATAGCTTACCTGATGAGAAGAAAATAACTATCTACAAATACATATGACAACAGTGACTCATAATGTAATTAGTGTTTAGAATTTGTGTTCTACAAAGATAGAAAACTATGTGATACAGTGTTTTTTTTTTTTAAAGAAGAGAGAGAGAGAGAATTTTAATATTTACTTTTTAGTTTTTTGGCGGACACAATATCTTTGTATGTGGTGCTGAGGATTGAACCCGGGCTGCATGCATGCCAGGCGAGTGCGCTACCGCTTGAGCCACATCCCTAGCCTGGATACAGTGGTTTTTAAAAGACAAAATATTTAATACCAAACTTAAGCCTAGCTTTGCCTATAGTCCAAGTTACTTGGGAGGCTAAGGCATGAAGTTCATTGAGCCCACGAACTTGGAGACCAGCAAGGACAATGTGCGGAGAACCCCTTGCAAAAAAATACATACACCAAAAAAAAAAAAAAAAGAGGGGGAGGAGGAGGGGGGGTGGGGAGAGGAGGAAGAAGATAAAGAAAACAAAAAACAAAAAACAAAAAGTTTATGGCTTAGGAAGATGCTTTACTTTTGTCAAACATTCTTTTTCCCTTGAACAATACCAGATTAATGAGTCCTTACTACATTTAGTTGTGATTAAAAAGGTACATGTAATTTTGGGTAAAGAATGGTAGGTAAAGTGAGGAAAAACACAGATTCACAGATACAAAAATTAAAAACACATCAAGACTAAAATATTAAATTCTCAAATAATGCACTTAAGATAGTTTAAAACTATAAATAATGACTACCACCATTACTTAATGAATAGTGTTATGGGCCAGACATCACTGGGTAAATGTTTTACATCTAACAATTTATCTCACAGTCCTCTGAGGTAGACAATTAAGACAAGACCCTACCTGCCCAAGGTCAATCAGTGGTACACACCTGTAATCCCAGTGACTCAGGAGGCTAAGGCAGGAGGATCACAAATTCAAGGTCAGCCTGGGTTACTTAGCGAAATCCTGTCCCAAAATAAAATAAATAAATAAATAAATAAAAAGGGCTGGGGATGTAGCTCAGCAATAGAGTGCCCCTGGGTTCAATTTCCAGTATCTCAAAAAACAAAAAAGAAAAAAAGTTCATCACATGACTCCAACAGAAGGGTTAATTAGTTGGGGGCAGAATGTAAGGAAATTGAGTTCCCCTGTCCTGGACCTAAAACTATATTACTTTTGTCCACCACCAAGTCATTTTTTTTTGGTGTATTATATTCAAGTTACAGATAACACATACTCTTTTGATTGATTAAACACCCATGAGGCAAATGAACTGCTTTTCATTTTTCTCAGACTTTCTTTTCCTAAACTCAGTTTGTTGTTTTTTCTTTTTCTTTTTTGGTAGTTGTAGATGGACAGAATGCCTTTATTTTATTTGTTATGTGGTACTGAGGCTTGAATCTGGTGCCTCATATTTGCTAGGCAAGCACGCTGCCACTGAGCCACAACCGCAGCCCAGTTTGTTGTTTTTTTTAATATATATTTTAGTTGTTGATGGATATTTATTTATTTATTTATTTATTGTGCTAAGAATCAAACCCAGTGCCTCATACATGCTAGGCAAGCACTCTACCACTGAGCCATAACTCTAGCCCCCTCAGCTTGTTTTTTTAAAGTAAAATAGTGACATATTTGATTTTTCTTCTAAGCATGCTATATACTTGTTTTATGTGCCTATTACATCTGTCACTATTTCCTATTATCTGCATCTGCTCCTGAAGTAATATCTAGAACATAAAAGGGGCTATGTGATATTTGGTTAAATGACTTATAAGCAGATAAAGAGGGTAAAAAATTCATATTCCATT